CTTACTATGTGCTAAATGCTGTGCGTGCCTTGTTCATTTTAACCCTTGCCACAGTCTTGCACATGAGGTCCCCTTGCCATCCTCTTTCACATTCATTCATTTCACCAATACACATTTATAAGTGACTGCCTTGTGCCAGGCTTTCTTCTCAACAGAGAGTTTAGGAAGTGGTAGAGCCTGGATTGGAACCAATACCCATTTATAAGTGACTGCCTTGTGCCAGGCATTCTTCTGAGCAGATAGATTAGGAAGTGACAGAACTAACTGGAACCTAAATAGTGAGGTCCTCACTATTAGCCGCAGCGATAAGCTGCCTCCCTCCTGATATTAACCAGCCCCTTCCAGCTGTTACCCACTTCCTTTTCTCTGTCTCTCTGTGCCTATTAGGTACTTCTTTGATCCTATTTAGGATATTTTATTGCTCATTGAGCTGCCTTTCTCTACTGGGCTGTTAGGGCATCACTTAGAATGTGCCAGAAAGTCCAGCATGAAGGGGCTTATATTTTCCACTTAGCAAGAAATAAGGTAGACTATTTCTAGTGTGGCTCAGTAACTTAACATCAGCATCAGGGAAATATCACTGGTCTTTCTTGATTATTTCCTCTTGGCAACAGTGTAATTCCCATGGTCACATCCGAGTTCGACCTGAGACTTTTTAATTGCCAACGTAAAGGCTGTGCCATACATCTCTTGGGTCTCCTTGACTAGAACAATGATCAATCCCCTTTGCAAAGAGGCAGAAAGGCAGAGAAGGTGGGAATGTTGCCTAGGACTGGATACATTGTGATTCATATAAAACCTTACCAGGATAAGGTAATCAGGGAAGAAGAAAAGATGGGTAGGAGACCAGCAGTGTCCTAGAGAACAGAGACCATGTATTAATTTATCACAAGTTTCTGGATTCTGGGTGTTCTATGATTGTCCTGGGTTTTTATTGCCTTGAAGGCTTACTCTATGCATCCAAAGACATTACAATTTTCTTCAAACATAGTATCATGGTGTGTATTCTATTATTAGTCCCCCTTTTCACTTGATAAGATGATATATGTCGTCCATATAATGTTTGTGGTTACATAATAGTCCATCTTGAAGAAATACCATAATTTAGTCAAATAATCTCTTATAATTAATCATACCAGTTTTTAATACTTCATGATCTTAAATAGCCTTGTGATTAATAACCTTATAACTTTATTTACATTTATGATAAATTTCTTTGCACCCAGCCTCAGGTTAAAAGCTATGCCAACTATTAAAGCTTTTTTATATCAGTTACCACATTGACTCCTGAGAAGTTGTGCCCATTTTTAAGTAAGCCAAGAGTTTCTGATAGTGGTTGTCCTCTGACATCTTTGGACACTTTCTTAATCCTTGCTGATTTGATAGGAAAATTGCAAAAAATACAAGTTTATGTTTTCTTTGATTACAGGTGAGGTTAGTACTTTTAAAAATATATGTACATTAAACATATATAGTTCTCATTTAAATTTTCTGTTCATTTCTCATGCCCAGAAAGTTGTGGCATTTATGTTTTTCTCATTGGCTTGCAAAAGTGCTTTATATATTCGGGAGACAGGAGGTCCATAGGACTGGGTGATTCTGAGCTGTATTTGAAGGCTTAATAGGATTTTACCAGGTTGACTAGGAGTTAGGAGGATAGTCCAGGATAGTATATATTATAAGACAGCAGAATATTACCCTGTAGAGCTAAAATAGGGTTTTAACTGTGAAGTGCCTCAAGCAGATGAGTTTGGGCTAGTCACTTCAAGAGAGTGGGGAATTGCTGGGTTTTGAACAGGGCAGGAACATGATCAAATTTGCTGTTTGGCTGCTATGGCGAGAGAGTATTGGTGAAGATGGTAAGGAGGAGGAGTGAGGACATTTAAAGATGTAGGAGGTGAGAAGCAGGAAGAGGGAGGAATCTGGTATATTAACATCAGGAAAAGGTTGGATTTCAGGTTTTGAGAGTAGAGATGTCGAGGAAACAGATGCATCTGTAGCCCAGACCTCTCCCTGGGGTATAAATAGAATTTGGGAGCAGGTGCAGAGTAGGGGTGACAGAAGTCTGGGGTCTACCAGTTTTCCCCATCATTTTAGTATGAAAAAGTTCAAAACACAACCAAGCGTACACCCTTGTATTCACACTGAGACTCTTATCTACACTTGTTTTGTGGCATATCGATTCATCTCTCTCCCATCTTACTTCTTGTTTAAGAGTAAGCTGCAGATAACCATGTACTTCTCTTCAACACTTCAGCCTGTATATCATTAACTGGAGATCAATATATAGTGAGATACACAAATCTTAAGTGAACCCTTTGATGGATTTTGATGAACAAAGACACTTGTGTACCCCAACTTGTGGCAAGAGACAGAATATTTCCATTTCCCCAGGAAGTTCCCCATGCCCTATTCCTGCCCCCATTCCCAGAAGCAATCACTACATCCCTTTTTTTTTCTTCCAGCCACAAGCTCCGGGACTGCATATAAGTGGAGTCACTCAAGATGGACTCTTTCGTGTCTTCTTTTACTTAGTGTAGTATCCATCAGAGCCTTTGTTGTCATTGCTGTGGTGTCAGCATTTTGTCCTTTCTTCTGTTGTAAGGATGTAAATGGAATACTCATGAGGGCGGGGGGAGGGATACTCATTTTAAGTGAGGACAGAGAAAGAGATTTACAAGGAACAGTGAAGGCAATAGGAAATGCCCCCAACCAGAATGTCAAGGAAAATCAGGTCAGACTGCACATAGCATAAAAACTAAGACAGTGACTTAAATAATAGGCATTTTTTTCTTGTTGTTAATCTCATGTTAAAGAAGTCCTAAGGTAGATAGTCCTGGAGACAATACAGCAGCTTATTGTGCCATTAGTGACCAGGTGTCTAGCTTCTGCTCAGCCATCTTTGGTAGAGACCTCTAGCCACAAGGTTGCCTCATGGTTCAGTATAGCTGCTGAAGTTCCAGCTTTCCTAACTGCTGTCGCAAGTGACAACAGATGAAGGAAGAATGGAGAAACCTTCCCAGCCACAAAAGTGTATCTTCCAGTTAAAATTATCTTTTAGCAGCCTTCCTTAAAAGTTCCACACATATCCACTTAACTAAATCTCATTAACTAGAACTTAATCCCATGGACCACACCACTAGGAAAAGGAGCTTTCTAAGCTAGCTGCTGGGCACACTGCAACTCCCAATAGAATGAGATTTTTGTTCATAGAAAATGAATATTGATTGTCAATAGCTTCTTCTGCCTTCTTGCTTCTGAGATCTGATAGTCAAATCATGGCCCACTCAGTTTTCCTGTCTGTGACCTCTCATAAATGGAGGCCTATACTTGTCAGGTTTCCATCCTTCTGAGTTCCCCAGCCTTGACTCAGGGCACTAATAGGACAGCCTAGGGGAGAGATGGCAGGTGTTAGATGGTACCATGTTCCCTCCTTGTGCTTCTTCAAAGCAGGGCTCATCAAACACCCCAGTCTTCTCATAGTGCCAGACTCAGGCAGCCTGGAAGCTGCTGCTCCTCTTCCTCCCTCCCACCCCCTGGAAATAGCAGAGTTGGCTCACCCTCTGCCAGCCTCCAGAGCACTGGGTCCTGTTTCCCGGGTGCATGACACATGCTGAGTGGCTCATCACCAGCTCTGGTGGTTCTCCATGTGTGTGTCAGACCTGCGGGGGGAAGAAACAGTCCATGTCCTCTGACAGCTTAATGGAGAGGACAGTGGGAGCAGGTGCAGCAAGGCTGAGGGAAGCTCTCGGCTGCCAAAGGGCCAGATTGGACTGAGTATGGCCGTGGCCTGCACCCTGTGACCTGTTGACACCATTCTCAGGCTGCCAGCTGCCATGGGGCTGGTGTGTTGTGACAGAGGAGCCAGGGCCCCCTGCAGGGAACTTGGCTCATGCCTCAGACCTGAGCGGGACAGATTCCCCTGCTCGTTCATTCTCTCTACACTCATTTGCTGAAGCCTGCTGCATGTCAGTCTGTTGGTGCAGACCTGAGACACCCAGTTTCTGCTCCAGGAACTCAGGGACCAATGGAAGGATTGATGGGGCACTAGAAAGCCATGTGCTATAGGAGCTCTGAACTGCCAGGGAGATCATCCCGAGGAAGTGATGTCTGAGCAGAAATGCCCCCTCACTGGTGGGGTTTGACCAGGGGTCTTTCCGAGGTGCTGTCCTGCATACCCAAGGACCCAGGCTTCTGTCCCCAGGAGGGATGTCTGTGCATGGACTCTGGAACCCGAGGGTACTGGCAGCACCAAGGAGGTTAACTTCGACTTCCTGTGGCCTTTTCTTTCCTGCACCTCTGAGGGAAGCCTACATGGAAATTATAGAAATAAGGGCCTGCTTTTGAGGAGTCTGCTGTTCAACGGTGTCCCTGCCAGGCCTTGGGCCGCCTCTCGCCCACGTTCTGCCAGCCTAAGGCTCTGATCTGTGTGGAGCCTTGTACCGAGGGGTGAGGGCTCCCTTGGATATGCAGTTCCTCAACCCCCCCCCCCCACCCTGAAGCCTGCTCTGGCTCCCTTGTAGAGATCTGTCTCTGTGTACAAATGGTACCCCGGGAGGAGGGACTCAGGAAGTGACATCGTTTGGCCCGCCCCCACCTCCTTATTCCCTATAAAAAGCAAAATGGTGACTCAGAGAGGAGAGTTGGAAGCGTCCTGCCTCCTGCTCCCACTGTTAATTTTTAGACTTGGAATTGGGCAGCAGGCAAAGGAAGCAGCAGCTCGAAAGACGCGACTGACATGCTATTAAGCGGGTGGCAACAGCAGAGCCTCTCCTCCCCGGCTCCCGGCAGCCTCTGAACTGCAGCGCCCAGTGCCTGCTGGCACTTCCATCCCCTCACGGGACCTGGGTCCCCACACAGCCCCTGCCTGGGCCAGGCGGCCGTGGATGCTGTGGCCGGGGGCATGGCAGCAGGGGGCCGCCGCCGGCGCCCACTGCGCTACCAGTCCCTGGCAGCCCTCGTGGAAGACTCTCAGTGGCCTTTCTTGTTCCTTGTCTCAGACTTCAGCTACGGGGCAGACGACTACGACGGAGAGGGGAATGAGGAGCAGAAGGGGCCCCCAGAGGGCTCAGAGACCATGCCATACATCGATGAGTCGCCTACCATGTCACCCCAGCTCAGCGCCCGCAGCCAGGGCAGTGGGGACAGCATCTCTCCCACCCCGCAGGAGGGGCTGGCACCCGGGGTAGGTACACCTGCTTTTCCCTCCTGAGTTGGGGAGAGGGGGCTTCGGTGGAGATGGCGGGGTCTGTAGGCAGGTATGGGTATCATGGGTCGGCTCTGCCTAAGAGGATACTTTGTGGACTGGGGAGACTGGGACCTGGCTGTTCTCAGTGTCTTTAGCATCTCATTCCTGTCCTGGGCCCCTCTCAGACGAGGCTTCTTCTCCCCCCACCTGCTGCTCTCTCTGCCTCCTTTACCAGCCATCTGCTTCCCCTGCCGCCTGGCACCTCACCTCCTCATTCAGCTTTCCCTTTCAGCCCCTCTCCAGTAGAGTAGGACTCGGGAGGGAACAGGCTGTTCTCTTTTGGTCCAGGCTGGACAGGGGTGCATGTGACCTGTGGACTGAAAATGTCCAGGTGCAGCTGTAGCAAAGCCAAAGCTAACTGGCCTGGTGTTTGTGGTGGGGTGGGGTGAGCTGCTTCTGTGACATTCCCTGAGGACCACAGGCCTTGTCCAGTCTCCTGTTGATTCCAGAAGAGAATGAACCCTGGTAGTGTCCATCTCTTCTCTTGTTGACACACTGGAGCTCTGCTGCAAAAGGAAGCACTTTACAAGGAATATTAAATAGGTGCGCCAGGCAGGCCAGGGAGATAGAAATGTGCGGAGGTTTGCAACCTTTGTAATTAATGCACTTCCTGGTCACAGGGACGCTCTGTCTGGACCCAGCTTGTGCACGTGCCTCTGAGACACCTGAGCAGGCAGGACAGAGATTCCTATGGCTGTTTTCTGCAGTTTGGGAGAATCAAAGCTGTTCCTTCTTTTTTAACGCCCATGGAGAAGCAGCCACTGGGATGCTGTGAAATGTCTGTTTCCCTCCTCCGGGGCCCAGCACCTCTCACTCCAGCAGCCAGGGGCCTGCCTGGACACTGCTGACTCTTAAGAACCCCTGCATCGCATCCTATTTTCTTTGGCCACCCTCCACCCTTCCACGGAGCTCTCACCCCCTCTTCACACTCAGGGGTGGCTGTTATAGCCTTTGGCAACAAGGGCCTTGGCAACCGGCTTCCCACTTGGGGAAAGCCACATGGTTGCCATAGCAACAGAGGCCGAGGCAGAGATTAGCGGCTGCCTGGCAGTGCAAGTTTGGGAAGGGATGGTGGGGCACCACTGGGGGGTGGAAGGCATGAACAAGAGTGGTATTGGTCATGTTCAGACCCCCTCAGCCTGCCTCCTGTCAATCTAAGGAAGGGTGGCAGAAGTAGGCTTCTTGCTACTGATAGAGGAGAGGGTATTCTAGGATCTGAACTGAGGCCAAACGGATGCAAAAAGAAACTCTTGCTTTCCGTCTCTGCCACAAGGGTTCACAGACCTCCTGGGAGACATTACCCCATGTGAGCTGAAGAGGGGGTGTCACTGTAGGACCCAACAGGGGGCCAGGGATGCTGGCTGTGAGATGCTGGCTGTGAGTGGAGGACTTGTACCCCAAACATGCTGAAGAGAAACACGCCTTTACCATTTCTTTGCTGTCTTCCTGCCTCCCATCCCCATTTCTTTCTGCCTCCCATCCCCATTTCTTTCCCTGGTCACACGACCACTTTGCTGGGTTTATGCATACAGAACTGGGGTACAGGCCACAGGGGCAGGGGCCGTGAGAGGATTCACCAGAGACAGAGTGGGGAGCAGAACAGGCCAACAGATGAAGTACACTGCTGAGGGGAGCAGCGGGCGGGTCAGGAGAGGTCTGCCACGCCATATGGTCTCCTCCGGGGCAGGTGGGAATCGAACTCATGTGGAAGTGGCTTTAGCTTCTTAGTGCTGCGCTTTAACCCGCTGCGCCACCAGGGAGGGCCCTTCTCCTTCACTTTTTAGACTCCCTGTGAAAGGTATTGTCAGGTGCTTTCTCTGGAGATACAGGTCAGCCATAACGGAGAAGTGCCTCCACCCTTGCTCAGACTTGGCCCATTTTGCTCACTGGCTCACAAGGAAATAACTTATTTTGAGGACTTTAAAGTCTAGAGCTTGGGAGCCAGCATTAATTTCTACATCACTGACTAGAATTCATGCAAAAATAGGGGTGAGAAGCCTGTATTCAACTAGGGGCTCTGGTGGAGGTCTGATCTGCTGCCCTCCTGAGTTGCATTTGTGCCCTTTCTGCTGGGTCACTGGCCCCACCTAGTGGACTCTTCAAGTATTGCTGTTCATTTGGGGTACCTGGAAGGAGTTGACACACTTCTTCCCGCAGTTTCAGTTAAGAAAGCAAGCCCAGATTTCTGATTCTTGGCTCTGATGATTCTATCAGGCAGGCCCCCTCTCTTCCATGCTTCCTATTGGGGTCTTAGGAACTGAGGAAACTTGGGTCAACTTAGGTAATTATTCTAAATGTTCAGATATCTGACCTCTGAAAGTTGGGCTTTCAACACTCCACCCAAATATGTAGCCAACCTGTACCTGGAACCCCAAGATTTGGCTTTTGCACTAGTCAAGATTCTCCAGAAAAGCAGAACCCTGTGTGTGTGTATGTGTGTGTGTGTGAGAGAGAGAGAGAAAGAGAGAGAGAGAGACAGAGAGAGAGACAGAGAGAGATGGTGGGGTGGGGAGAGAAAGGAGGAAGGAGGAGTGCTTGGCTTGCTCTATCACAGAGACCAAGAAGATCTGCAGTCAGCAAGCTGGATGTGTGGGGAACTGATGCATATAGCTCCAGTCTCAGCCTGAAGGCATAAGAATGGGTAGTCAGTGATGTGAGTTCCAATCTGAAACCAGCAGTCTTGAGACCTAAAAGAGCCTGTTTCTCAGTTCAAGACGGAGGCCAGGAAAAATCCCATGTCTTCACTCAACAGTCAGGTAGGAGGAGTTCCTCCCTCTTTCTGCTTTAGTCGTTTCCTCAAGTGCTAGGGAGGGCAGACTTTACTCAGTCTACTGATTTACTTGGTAGTCTCACCCAGAAATGTCCTCACATGCATACCCAGAATAATGTTTAACCAAATGTCTGGGCATACTGTGGCCCAGTCAAGCTGACAAATGAAATTAAGACACACACTTATGGGCCCTCCCTGGTGGTACAACAGGTCAAAGCACAACACTGTGACACTCTCCACAGTCACTGCAGCACAAGTTTGATTTCCAACCTGAGAGCTGACCCACGTGGCGCAGCAGACCTCTCCTGACCCGCCTGCTGCTCCCCTCAGCAGTGTACTTCACTCAATCTGTCTCTTCTGCTCCCCACCCTGTCTCTGGTAAATTCTCTCATTCCCCACACCTCTGGCCTGTACCTTAGTTCTTGTATGCATAAATAAATAAATCTTTAAAAAATGATTTAGACTAACTCTCCTCAGAGAATGGAAGGAACATGCCCTATGGATACAAGGATATTTCCTACTCTAACTGGGAGGTTCTGGATGAGTGTCATAGCCCCTCCTGAACCCAAGTTTTCTCATCTCTAAGTAGAGCTACCCAGAAAGCTATTGGAAAGATAGAATATGATAGCACAGGTGAGGCCTACAGCATTGGGCCTGGCTAGCTGTGGGCGCTCAGTCCTTGGTGACCAAGGCCCACACACTTCTCAGCAGTCTTCAGAGGAGCAGAGCCAAGAACATTGCCAGGACCTGTTCTCATGAGTATTTGCTGTACAATGACTGAATTGCTTTTGCAACCTGGCTTCAGTGGTGGAATCATTCCTACCAGGTGTGATAGCCTTGACGAAGTCAGGTCTTGACAGTGTTGTCAAGACACATATTCCTCACCCCCAGAACGTCCCTGGAGCTGTACAGCCCACAAAGGTATCAGAGTGACACCTGGATGTCACACTGACAAGGGTGATACTTGCCCAAGACCCATTATTCTCAAGCCAGCAGAGCAGAGCACCTTCCAGGGCTGGGCCGGGACCACTGAGAGTGTCTGGTTGCACCTTGGGAAGGAAGGCTAGGGATCTCAGCTGACAAGTGGGGACACAGGTTCTTCTGCCAAGACCATGGAAAGCTGCTTCCCACAAGCTAGACATGTCTCTGCCTCCTCTCAAAGGCCCACAAGGCAGAGAGACCTGTTCTATATCAGCTCTATCACTTTTTAGCTGTGTAACCAGAGGGATGACGCTCACCCTCTTTGAACTCCACCTTACTCTGTAAAAGTACTGATAATTTCCTCTCTCTCTTCCGCTTTCGCACCACTGTGGTAAGATTTCCTTGAAATGGTGTCAAGAGAGAGCTTTGAAAGTGTAAGTCCTGATTGCACATTGGCATGGGCTTCTCAGTGTCTAACTCATTTGTACGGAACTGTGAGGGAGGCACCGTGATCGCCTTCATTTTACAGTTGATGAAATGGAGCTTCAGAGAGGTGAGATTATTTGCTCAAGAGCAAATAGGGCTCTGGTGGGGCCAGAGCTTTATTTAAACTCAGATCTTTATTCTGTTGGAGGCTGTGCCATGCGACCAGGTCCATGTAGACACCATCTCCTTTGTGAAGCTTCTGTAGACCATCGCTACACCCTTTGCTCTCTGTGAAGTGTCCACTGTTACTCTTGGAGCACATCTGCACCAAGTCCTCATCCCTGTGACCCCTGCCAATAGTTCCTGGGCACCAAAGGTGTCTGTGGAACAGAACTAAGTAGCAGTGGGATGGCCAGGGAGGAGAAGGAGCGGGCAATGCAGTCTCATGAAAGTGGGATGAATCGCTATCCCCTCTTCTCCCTGGTTCTTTCTGTAGGCTTGGGGTTTGGGTTTAAGGATGCAAAACAAAGCTGCTTCTGGAGGACTAGAAAGCCCACTCCACTCCCTTCAGATGGTGTGGGAGACCCAGATGGGTGGGTGAGCAGGTAGCAGTGGGCTCTGTCCCCTCGGGCATTTCCAGCTGCCTGTGGTATCACTCACACTCTCCCCAGGTTGTCAGTCCTCATCTCCGAGGCTTGCTCTGCATTCCTCCCCTTGTCTGGATCTTCAAAGAAGACTAACAGGCTCCTCCTGAGTGTCTGGCGAGTATGAGGAGCCCGTGGGCTTCACTGACACCTAATTCCTTCAGCCACTAGGGCAG